AAGGAAAAGTGGTGAAGCAGAAAAAGGGTGATATTCGGAATCAGCTCATTCTGCACTATCCGAATACGTAAGAATATCGAGAAAACAAAACACTGCTCGACCTTTGAATTACGCACGCCTTAGAACGAATACTAACTTGAAAAGTGTGTGCCAGAAAATAGACAAATCCAAATGCAAACCATACATACATTAACAGGGTCATGTCATGTCGAAGATTATTATAATCACATTGTTGAAATACCTATTTATTGTCATAATCAACGTTCTAAAACTCAAAAGTTCTGTACGTACGTACTTGCATTGTTTTACCAACAAGTACTGAAAATATGGGTGGTTTTGTACCATTGACTGCACATGCTAAACATCCAAAAAGAATATATAGCCATTCTGGACTGTTCAATTTTAGTATTGTCACAAATGTTGAATGTGATTGGGGTTGTTTATCCTACATAAAAAGAAAACGTGGAATAAGTTCACTGTAAATGAAATACGCATTTTAAAAAACTCTAAGCGTTTCGCATTTTCGCTCCGGCACAGAAAAAGGTTATTAATAATATTCCGCAACGCTTAGAGACTTATCATCGATAGGTACCAGCAACATAAATGACTAAGGTGATGAATGCAACAACGGCCCACTCGAAGTGGACAACGAAGAAAAAGAAGATGCGATAGCACGTCAACCTGCAGTTCACAATCAAAACCAAAACGTTTTAAAGACGAATGCAACGACGAGAATGAACGAATGGAAGAGGTACTTGAATCTATACATTAAAAACTCAAAACAATCACTGCAAAAGAGAGCAAATTTTTATCGAAAAAAATCAATCAACAAGATACAAAACGATGTTAAGAAGAAGAGGGTAGGGTGGGAAAAAAATAATCTGTTAGCTCAAAACCATTTATACCATATATAGCTGGATAGAACTCGATGAGCTGCATTGACTGATACCTATGCCTTTACTGAGCTAAATGCGGTCGGTACAGCAAAGTAAGTGAAGCTGCTCAAGATTATAGAGAAAAATCGATTGATATATTATACCGCTCAGTTTCGTTGACTGTCGACCGAAATACATCACTTTTCGGATCAGTATAGAATTCTCACCATAGAAAAGTTGGTCTATATTCTTTCGTTAATATGACTTTTCTCTGTAACAAGCAAACAATTTCGGTTAATTACAGCTTCAACTCGGGCGAATGAATTTGTTAGTCAGATGATGGGAAAACAGTTTTGAAATACTTTTAAAATATAAATATTCTGGAAAATAAAAATGGCAACTGACCAGTTACTTTCCTAGAGATTAAATGTATGATTAAGCATTTTGGTGCAGAAATTTACGAGAGTACTAAAGTGATGAAATTTCCTGAAATGTTTAAATTTTCTGAGAATTATAAAACTTGCTGAAGTTGTGGAAATTTTCATAAATTTAGGATTTCAACTAATGGCTATTTGCTCGATTATATCTCTCCGACTAAGATAATACCACTAACAATTACGAGGTTTCGGTCGAATCTTTAATTTTTTCTTTCTTAACCTTGAATCGTTACCAAATACTTTAACAAATTTTCAAGCATTCAGCAAACTGAAACCATATCAGACGAAAAAAGGGTTTTGGAGAGGTAAAAAACCTTTTACGGAACGCTTGAGTGTTTTTTAAAATATAAGATTTTTAACGGTGTATGTGAAGACAGATTCATGTATACTTTGTCCTCATCCACTTGTTCATCTTGATCATGTTCACTTGGTACTTCACTTTCTAACCTCGAAAGTTTACGGAATTTCCTTTGTTGTTGTTGTTCGTCATTATCCTCCTTATGTAATGGTTCTGGAGTATTTGGGTCTTCTTGAACTCTTACCATTGAATAATACCGTCCTTGTTCCTTGGCCATAAGTTGATCATGTGTACCTTGTTCAACAATTCGTCCACTGTCAAAAAAATAAATG